CCTCCACCCAGCACAGGTACCTGCAACAACAACCGGAACAACAACCGCACTGACAACCGGAATAACAACCGCACTGACAACCGGAATAACCGGGAAAAACTGGGAATAACAATGGGAATAACAACAACGGGAATAACAACGGGAATAACACCGGGAATTCAGGGGATCCTGAGCGACTGACGCATCTCCTCCACCCGGCACAGGTACCTGCAACAACAACCGGAACAACAACCGCACTGACAACCGGAATAACAACCGGAATAACCGGGAAAAAACGGGAAAAACTGGGAACAACAACGGGAACAACAACGGGAATAACAACGGGAATTCTGGGGAGCCTGAGCGACTGACGCATCTCCTCCACCCGGCACAGGTACCTGCAACAACAACCGCACTGACAACCGCACTGACAACCGGAATGACAACCGGAATACTGGGAAAACAACGGGAATAACCGGGAAAAACTGGGAATAACAATGGGAATAACAACGGGAATAACACTGGGAATTCAGGGGATCCTGAGCGACTGACGCATCTCCTCCACCCGGCACAGGTACCTGGAACAACAACCGGAACAACAACCGCAATGACAACCGGAATGACAACGGGAAAAACAAAGGGAATAACAACGGGAAAAACAACGGGAAAAACTGGGAACAACAATGGGAACAACAACGGGAATAACACCGGGAATTCAGGGGATCCTGAGCGACTGACGCATCTCCTCCACCCGGCACAGGTACCTGGGAATATCGGGAATTCCCAAGGATCCGGGATCACTCCCAGGATCAGGGATCACTCCCAGGATCACTCCCAGGATCAGGGATCACTCCCAGGATCACTCCCAGGATCAGGGATCACTCCCAGGATCAGGGATCACTCCCAGGATCACTCCCGGAATCACTCCCAGGATCAGGGATCACTCCCGGGATCAGGGATCACTCCCAGGATCACTCCCGGGATCAGGGATCACTCCCAGGATCACTCCCGGGATCAGGGATCACTCCCGGGATCAGGGATCACTCCCGGGATCACTCCCAGGATCAGGGATCACTCCCGGGATCCAGGATCAGGAATCACTCCCGGGATCCAGGATCACTCCCGGGATCACTCCCGGGATCCAGGATCAGGAATCACTCCCGGGATCCAGGATCACTCCAGGAATCACTCCCGGGATCCAGGATCAGGGATCACTCCCGGGATCCAGGATCACTCCCGGGATCACTCCCGGGATCAGGGATCAGGGATCACTCCCGGGATCCAGGATCACTCCCGGGATCACTCCCAGGATCCAGGATCACTCCCGGGATCACTCCCGGGATCCAGGACCCCCCCACCCGCGGGATGCCCTCGGTTTCCCGCGCCGTGCCCAGGTGTGTGGTTACCTGTCGTAGCAGTCGCCGCGGGAGCCGATGGGGACGTCGAACTCCACGTGCGCGTACGCGTCGTACGGCTGAGCCTTGCGCAGGTCCCACTGGATCCCGGAGCCGCGCAGCATCACCCCGCTGGGACCCCAGAAACACACCTGAGACACACCTGAGACACCTGAGACACACCTGAGACACACCTGAGACACACCTGAGACACCTGAGACACACCTGAGACACACCTGAGACACCTGAGACACACCTGAGACAC